CCAGACAGACGCCCGTTGCGCAAGGGACGAGAAGAATGGGGCCCACGCTGCCAGGGGAGAGATGGGGCTGCATTTTCACGTGACCTTTCCAGCTATCTTCCGGCCAGAACGTTTCCCAACCGCTCTTCCCCACACGATGTCGGGGGCAGGAGAGCCAGCTGTGACGGGAAAACCCTTTCTGTCGTTTGGGAAGGGAGGGAAGACAGCACCCTCCCTTCTGGAACAGAAGGGCCTCGTTTCCGCCGATGAGGGGGTGGCCCACACCGGACAGGGCAGGCGAGTCGGCGCAGCCCCACGCAGCAGCCTCGGTGGACGTGGTGCGGAGTTCGGGGGCCCCGGGCGACGGCGGCCCCTGATCTGGGGCCAGCTGAGTTCCTGCACCGCGCCGGCACTGCCGAGTCCTTCGCCCCGCCTCCACCCCTGCCCCCACGGCGAGGCCATCCCGCACAGCCCCCGCACACAGCCAAGCCCACTCCCTCGGAAGCAGCGTGGTTTCCTGCGGCACAGTCTCTGGCTCCCAGCTGAATTCTGTCCGTCTCCAACTCGTCTCCTTCATTCTTAAACCTTTCCCTTCACTTAGCACACACTGTCCGCCCCAGGCACACAGCCGGTGTGAGACCTGCAGCAGCCACGAGGCAAAGACACTCTCGCCTGGGAACGAACCACTGGAGCCCACGGCACAGCCACCCTTGTGTGGTGACGCCCTCCGGGACGCGGAGGCTGCGCCTCCAGCCAGATGCCCGCTGTCCTGGAAAGTGCTCCCTCCCCCGTTGGAGAAGACGGTCTCCCTCCTGCCCTTCACGCCAGAGAAGGACCTTGCCTTAGATGTCATCAGAGAACTGTCTCCTCGCCCCACCCCCTGGCCCCCGCGTGGGTCCCCCAGGAGCCGGCCCCCTGGCCTCAGCAGCAGCCGCAGCGGCGGCGGCGCCCAGTCCCACCTGGGCCCAACCTCTGCCTGCACTCTGGGCGTCAGCCCTGCGGGTCTTCGCCTGCTTCTTCCCTCTCTCTCCCAAATTCTCCATTTTTCTCTCTCCTCCCCATCATCTTTTGGGATTAAGAAGAGAAATCGTCTTCGTGTTAATACCGAACACTCACATCGCTGCTTCCTCTGCTCCTGGAGCTGCTCTCGCCGCTTCCCACACACGGACCCGTCCCGTCCCCACGCCAGCCCCACGGGGCCGCAGGTGCTCCCACACTTCACGGGCGAGGCGGCCGAGGCACACACGTCACCAGGCGCCGGTGGCGTCTGAGAGACAAATGGAGGCGGCGCCTCAAAGTCGACACGACTGAAACAGAAAGCGAGGTCCCCCTCCCCCCACCCCGCTGTGAGCCGTCCGTGTGCTGGTCGGCCGCATCCTGCGACAGGAACCGTGTGTGTCCCGCTGCTCAGGGCAAAAGCCCGGAGTCACCCTAACTCTGCGCCTCCCCCACATCTCGCCTGAACCTTCCTCCCCGTTTCACCTCGACTTCCCCACCCGTACGTAGCTAAACCACCGCCGTCTCCCTTGCCCAGGTCAGGCCCCCACCTCGTCTCCCGTCTTCATTCTTGCCCCTCGGGCCCGGTCTGTTCCCTACATGGCGCCCAGGTCTTTGTGCAGTAGAAACTGCACGAGAGCTTTCTTCCCCTAAAAAACGCTCCAGGATCCAAATCCCTTTCCGCTGCCCGCAAGGCTGTGATCACGGGCCGCCTGCGTCTGCAGGCTGCTCCCCCACCTCTGGTCCCTGGGCACAGCCCTCCCGGCCCCCACGCCCGCCCTGCACTCCCCTGACTCGGGGACCTTCCGCTCCGTGTTCCCCCTTCGAGGCCCACTCTCCCTGCTGCACGAGACTGCCTGCCCAGACAGGCCTGCCCTAACTGCTGAGCTAAATAACCCCTCCAATTATTCTCCATCTGCATTTTACGTTGCGGACAGCACTTGTCAGCATGTGAAATTATCTTGTGCAATCATCATTCATGACGTCTGTCTCCAGCGACCACCAAGTACCCCACCCCTAGCTCCAAGGGCCAGCTCCCCGGGGCAGGACCCCCTCTGCTCGGGAGCACATCCCCAGTGTCTAGGACTGTCCTCCGCACACGGCAGCGACTTCGGATCTCCTCAGGGCCCAGCGTCCCCGTCACACCTGCCGAGACACAGGGACGGTGAGGGTCCAGAGAAAATAGCCCCTGAGGAGCAGGGGCTGGGGGTTCGCCCGGCCTTTCCCCGCATCCAGGCCTGCGTCCGACTCTCGGCCGGCCGTCTCTTCCTGTTTCAGCCCACGTGCGCAGTGTGAGGAAGCCGCTAGCCGGCTTGTTGCCGTGGGTGGAGGTGGGCGGGGAAGGTTGGGGCCGGCTCGTCAGGAAAACGCAGGCCACAGTCCAGATTGATGGTATCGAGCCCTAAGGACTGCAGCTGCATCTGATTAGGAATTGACCGGCTCATGCGAACGCAGGTCCAACGGGCCGGCAGCCTGGACTCGCTCTCGAGTCTGCTCCCGTCCCAGCCTCAGTCCAGGAGCCAGCAGAGACCCTCCCATGGGCCGTGTGCGATGAGCTCATCAACCAAGGCAAATATTTTGCTGCTCGTATTTATAGAAGCCCGCCTTGTCTCCCGGACTGCACCGCCCACGCCGTGTGCACGTGACCGCAGGCCCTCGCCTGCGCCTGGGTTTGCACCGGGGGCTCGCTCTGCGCCCCCGGCTCTTGGCCACGTTGCTGTGTGTTGCTAATTCCTCTGCTTGTCTTCTCGTGGCTCTCATCTCTGGGGCCCTTTTAAAACTGAGGCCGTAACTAGTTGTCGCTGGAAACACAGATGGCACTGGCTGGGAGGGGCCCCTTCTGATGATTTTCCTCAACTGTGTCTCAGTGCCCCCCACCCCCGTCCTGCCCCCGGGGAGGGTGGTGCCGGGCATTCCCTTCCCTAGTCCTCCCCCCGCACCACTGGGTGGGGAGTATAGGCCTGCGGACGGCACCTGACTCGCCCTGGGGCATGTGACCCTGCCCACGGACCCACCAGAACCACACGTGTCCTGTGACAGCCCGAGAACCTAGGAACTGTCCCGGCTGCACGTGAGGGACTTGGGAGCCAGGGACAGATGATGGTACGGGGCTGCGTTCTGCCCCTGCCCTGCGGTCTGGGGACAGCCGTCCAGGCTGTAAGGAGCGTGTCTGCGGTGCCCCCAATGCCTCCATCATCTGCGTGTGTTTCTGGGGGTAATAGCTTCTTGGTGGGGGACATTCTCCAAAGCGGGGGGACTGGTTCTCTGGGGACTGAAAAAAACACACTCTCTTTATGTATAAAGCACTGAGAGGCGTACACTACGCAGATACACAGCGCGTCTGTGGTCTTAAACCTTTATGGGGGCCGAGATGACCTAGAAATAGATGTTAAAAAACACCCTTTAAGGTGCGATAGTGACAAACGGGTCGAGGGGCCCCCGCTGAGCCTCAGGCCCTGCCTCCTCTCTCCTGGCGAAGCTTTGCTTTCGGCCAAGAATCCGAAACGCACCCCCTCTAAGTTATACGTGACTTGGGGACGTTTAACGGAATCTCTCCCGCGCCCGCCCACCCACTGGTAGCCCCGAAGCCGCTTCAAGGCACAAAGGAATGAGGCCCTGCCCAGACGGGTGGCTCTGGGGGTGGGACCAGCATCCCCGAGACCAGAGGGCTGCAGCTCACCCCCACCCCCCGGTCACGTGCGGGGGCCAAGCTCCAGCGGCGGGACTGCCGGTCACAGCAAGCAGAGCAGATGCCGCTTGTTGGAAAACTTGGGCTCAGCGACCATATCTCCTAAAATAAAACATTAGAACACATTGTCTGCCAAAAGAGCTTTTAAAGTTAAGTTTAGATGTCAGAAGCTTCTTTTTAGGTGTAATTTAGAAATAGAAAATTTGGAACATCTAGGATAAGTGGATGGTTTATGGCAAACCAGAATAGTTTTGAAGTCAGGATAATGTTTGTTTAATTTTTAAAAATATGTTTATTGAAGCTGGTCTGATGGTAGTGGATTATCAGAACTCAGCTAAAGTTAGTGTCACTAAAAATATGGTCATTGAGCCCTGGCTGGCGTGGCTCAGTGGACTGAGCCTGGCCTGTGAACCAAGGTTTCACTGGTTTGATTCCCAGTCGGGGCACATGACTGGGTTGCAGGTCAGGTCCCCAGTAGGGGGCGCATGAGAGGCAACCACACATTGATGGTTCTCTCCCTTTCTTTCTCCCTCCTCTCCCCTCTGTCTAAAAATAAGCAAATAAATAAATAAATAAATAATCTTTTTAAAATGTTTATGATTTCAGAAAGGAAAGGGAGAGAGAGACAGGGAGAGAAACATTGATGTGAGAGACAAGCATCAATCGGTTGCCTCCCATGCGTGCCCTACCCGGGGATCCAACTGTAAGCCAGGCATGTGCCCTGACTGGGCATCGAACTCCCCACCTTTCGGTATGCGGAGTGACTCTCCAGCCCACTGAGGCACGCCAGCCAGGGCTGCAGTCAGGGTAACCCTGAAAATTCCAGGCCTGGTGATTAGATGGACTCAGGGCCTTCTCAGTGTCCCTGACATCAACGCTTCCGGCCGTGGCCTGTCGTTGGCACTCGGCTGACCCAGACAGAGGCGAGAGGGCCTGCGGAGCGTTTCTGGGAGGAGGAAGGGCTTTGGCGTGCAGACGGCCTTTCCACAGCTGCCCTGGTGCCGACGAGGCAGCCGGAGCCTCCCCGCACACACCCTGCTCTGTGGACACGCCTGGCTGGGTTTCCTGCGGGAGATGTGCTGAAACGAGCCCAGCGGGCAAGGCCCCGAGTCGAGGGCGCCGTCCTCCACTGTCCTGGCCTTCACCAGAATCTGACTGGCGACCCATGTCCACTTGTGGCTTTAAAGTAAAAAATAGACCGGGAGCAATCGGAGAGGTCCTTACCAGAACAAATGAAATGGCCACTTGGAAGATAGATGGTATGCAAAGCGCAATGAGGACTATTTGCTTTGGGCCGGAGAGGCAGAGGGAGAGGCTCTTTTTGGTTGGACGCAGATGGGATACAAAAATATTCATGCTTTATTTTTCTATTTCTGCGGAAAACCCAATAAGAGGAATTGGGCTGGATGTGCAATGCAGAGAGCACGGGTGAATATAAGGCAGAATCCCAGTACGCTGCCCGACACCAGTCCTTAGGACACTCAGTTTTGTTTCTTTTTTCCAGAAAATGCGGGAGAAACGAGGCACATCGGGGCTGGAGTGGCCGCAGGGGTGAGTGTTCACTGGGCTCCTGGGAGCAGGACCGCGGAGGGCCCCGGGGAAGCCAGGAAACACACGCCCCTGTTTTCCGAAAGGCCCTGGGTTCAGGGGTCATTGTCCTGGTTCTCGCCATTCCCGGAGGTTACGTGCGCCGAGCGGAGCGAATGGAAGGAAGGTGGGAGCAGGTCTGCCGTCTCGGCTGTTTCCTCCCCTCTGACCTTGGACAGCCCGGGTTTCCTCAGTCATAACGGGTGATGACAAAGGACTTCCTTCTTCCTCTGTGAGTGATCCCGTGTGTCAAATTCGATAAAAAACGTGACAGTGCTCTGGAACCCTCTGGCACTCTGCCGTGCAGTGCGGCGGCGTGTGAGTGCCGTGGGGATGTGGGAGGGAGAAGCTGTCCACCCACAGAAACCACTGCACAGCAGTGTCGAAGGCAAGCCGTGACTGGAAAACGCAATGCAAAAAGTCAGTGAGCAAACTGGAGTTAACCTGAAGCCAAGTGAACTGAAGAAAAAGCACGGAGAGAAGTGACAAGACTGGAGAGACAGGCGGTGGAGACGGGGCCAGGGCGCGGCCTGGGGAGTGGGCGCGGGGCCTGGAGTCCCCGAGAGCTGGGCCGGCAGCCCGGGGGGTTCCGACAGCGCCTGAAACCTTGCGGGAAAAGACACAAAACGTCACATTCACCCTTCGGGTGACGTTAAGTGTTTGAAGTGCGGTAAGTGGGTTCAGTGGCATGGAGAGGGTTCACTGCGTGGTGTCACCACAGCCACTTCCCGCGGCAACACCGGACGTCCGTCCGTCCCTGTTAAACGGCACCTGCCCCCCAACCCCCGCCCCCCGCCCCCCGCCCCGCGCAGCCCTGACGGCAGTTCTGTCTCCGTGTCCGTGGACCGGGCTGTGGGAAGCCCCGCACAGGAGTGCGATCAGGCAGCGCCTCGCTTCCTTCCCGCGGCCGTGCCCTTGGGGTTCCCGCAGGTTGCAGCGCAGGCCAGGACGTCCTTGTGACTCCGAATCAGGCCTACGGCAGGGCTCCTCCCCCTTCACACGTCCGGTCAGAGCCCATGACGGTGTGACCTAGTACTCACGTGTGCGTCGTGTTATTGAAATAATGTGTTGTCATATAGTACGTATTACGGAAATAAATGTTTTACCCCAAACCACACTTCCTACCTGTGAAGTACTCTGATGTCCTGTGTCGTCAAAAAAAACTTAGTCACAGCCTTGTAAGCCAATTTCCTGGCACGCGGAGGTGCTGCGATCCCTGGTTTATGAGCCGTTGGTCTGCCGGACACGGAAATTACCCAGGACGAGCCCGCGACGCGCCGTGAGGGGCGCCCAGAAGCCTGGTGCCAGAGTCTCCCGCAGTCAGAGGGGCTGCAACACGGCTCCACAGGTGTCTCCCAACGACCTGCGGTTTCTGCCCCAGCTGTGGATCAAAGGTGCAAAGTCTCCACTTGTTTCTGGTGTAAACAGGATGATTCATGGATTAGCTGATTTTTTCCACAAGCCTGCAGCTGGCATGGGTTCGCCTGCCGCCAGTGACCATTGCACCCGTTTTCTGTCATAGGGAAGAACCGGATACACTGCCCTTCCTCCAGGTCCTGGCCCCCGGTCTGGTCTGGGGCGGGGTGAGGGGCCGGACTCTGCTGGCTGCAAGTGCTGCCCAGGGCCCCAGTCTCCCCCAGATGCAGGAAGAACCCCCACCTCTCCCTGCAGGGAGAGGCGCTGGGAGTGTGGAGGTCGTGCTCCCGCTGAGTGTCTGTGCAGTGGGCGGGGAGAGGAGCTAGGGTTCCCCCGGCGTCTCTACTTGGGCAGGTGTTTCTGTTAAACATTCACCCAGAGTCAGGCGACTCGACCTTCTCAGTGAGCTCATGTCTGTGGCACCCGCCAGGCGAGGTCACAGAGCTCACCTCCCGGCAGCATTGCAGAAGGAAGCGGGACTGGGGGCAGAGGGTGGGGGCGATGCAGGAGGCCACCTCCAGACCCGCCCTGAAGTGTTGTGCTCCCCCCTCGGTTCAGGTGGGAGGGGTGGGTGGGGACAGAGGCCCATCCAGGCGAGGTTTGGAAAGGCGCAGAGCTGGCCTTCGCCAGGTTTAGGAGGAGGAGGAGGGAAAGGAGGGTCGACACCCAAGCACACACGTGCTTTCTTCTCGGTTATTCAGACAGAAATGAGTGTTTGCTCGGCCAAACGAGAACTCAGGGGAGCGTGGGGGCACAAAACAATGCCTTTCCTCCCAGCTTCTGGGTTCCTCCAGCTGGCCGTCAGAGTGACGTGAGTCAGGCTGGTGTGAGTCAGGCTGGCGTGAGGAGAGGCCCGCCTTTATCAGGGGCGCCCAGGCAGGGCTGCCACGAGATGTGAGACCCGGAGACGCACGGGGCGGCGGAGGCTTACACGCAACTCTGGACGAAGTGCAGGGGGCCGGGCTCCGGGAAGCAAAGGCAGGTGAGGAAGAGCAAACACATGGCGAGCAAATTCTCGCTGGGCAGTCCAGAGGGGCTCCAGCCAACACATTCTTGCTTGCGCCCTCCCTGTGTGCCACACTTCATCCAAATAGGCTAAGATTCCTTCTTCCATCGAACGCCTTTAGGCAGAAGAGGGGAAGGGTCACAGGTTTTTTTCTGAGTCTTTTGTTTCTTAGTAACCAGCTTAAAATCGATGCCCTAAAAGGCATGTTTGAGGTGGCAAAACTTCGGTCCCCTCCAGTGAGTTCTGGGTGGAGGGTGGTGAGAGGTGGGGGTGATGAACAGGTGGGGGTAGGAAAAGGATTTCCCAGGAAGTGGTAATGTCAGGAAGATGGGGTTGGCCTGGCAAGTGGAGGTCACCTCCCAGCCTTACTTCTGTATTTGGCCTCACTGCTGGGGACCTGGCTACTCATTAGGCCCAGGGATCCTGGCCATTCATCCAATCGACACGAACTCACGACCACTTGGCTGGGGGTTAGGAGTCGGAAAGGTCGAGAGGAAATGCACAGCTCTCTACCCTGAAGAAGTGAAGACTCAGGCAGGGGACTCACTTCACTAAACAGTTAGTGTGCTACCATGCCCTCCGTCCCGGGGGCTCCAGGAATGCAGACAGGAAGGCGCCTAACCCGCCCGCAGAGGTGAGGAGGGGATCAGGACAATCCCCCCGGAGCACATGGTGGTTGAGCTGAACTCTGGAGGGTCACAAGGACGTAGTTCAGGAGATGGGAAAGGGCTCCCAGGAAGAGGGAATAATTCCCTCAAAGCACCAGGTTTCGGAGAGAAGGGTGGGTCCTGGAAGGCCAGGGGACTTGCGACCAGAGCTGTGGGTTTAAGAAATAGGCTGGAAGGGGGCGCAGAAGCTGGGTCCTGAAGGTGAGGGCAGGCCTCCCCCAGGGAGGGAGCGAGCCCCCGCTGCCCAGAGGATCTCACCAGCTGTACCAGCTGACGAGCCGGCAGCGGCCGCGCCCCGTGGTTGCAAACCCGCCCCACCTCTCAGAGCCCAGGCTGGGGTGAGCCGTGCAGTGACCCAGTGGAGGGGAGGCCAGGGAAGTCGGGGTCAGAGGTTCTCCACCAGCATGCTGGGGCACGGCCATGGTGCGCTCGGGGACTTTCGATCTCGAGGATCCTTCCCACATCCTACAAGGCTGGCCTGTGGAAGTCAGGAATCGCCCCCCTGGTTTCTGAGACAGGGCACTCGCAGGGGGAGCAGGGCAGGCAGCTCACACAGCGAAACCTCAGTTCTCGAATGTCTCCCGTCTCGAACAGTGCGGTTCTCAACCAAGTTATTCAAGGAAAACTTGTCTTGGTTGTTGACCAAAACTTCGGTTCTCAACCTGACGACATTTCATGCAGGTACCTGGGAAAGAAGGATTCAGTTTCTGAACAAGCCGCTCCTCCACAGCCCCCCGGAACAAGTGGAGTTGGAGACGAGGCCCCACTGTGTTTCCCACAGGAAGTGAAGGGCAGCCCTGACCCGGGCGCGGCGACAGTGGGGTCGGAGGACAGGCCGGAGAGAAAGGCGGCCGCACTCTGGAACCGGCCGGTCCGCCCTGTCTGCGGGGTGCGGGAGGTCAGTCGGACAGCCCGGGGGATGTTTAATTGCTGCTGACTGTTACCGAGAATTCAGAATGAGCCCAGCCGGGCAGAGCACAGCCCAGCCCCAGACGCAGCACCCAGCCCTTCCCGGGCAGCAGGCCGGGAGCCAGCGGCCAGCCACTCCCTGCTCAGGCACAGCCCCTTCTCTGTTTGGCTGCTTTGACCTGTGAGGACAGACTGCGGTTCCCCCAGATTCAGGGGGAAGAGAACAGTTAGGATGAGACCCCTGCGTGGGGTGCAGCTTATTCTTCACGCCCAGTACTGGTCTCAGGGCCAGGGCCGGCCAGACCGCAGTGTGGCGCCCGGCCGAGGCCGGGGACCGCAGCACCGGGGATGCACCACCTGCAGGTGTGACCACAGCCCCAGGGCAACTCCCTGGGACGCCCAGCAGCTCAGCGGGCCCAGGGGCAGGGCCTCCCCTCTGGCTGCCCCTCTCCCCCAGCCCTCACTGCCCGGTGAAAGGGCGACCGCGACGACTCCGACTAGGGACTCCTTCCCCGGCCTCCCCTTGGAGCCCCTCCCGGCCCCCTTCTCCTTCCCAGCTCTCCCTCCATTCTCCTCTCCCCACTCCTCTCCCTTTGCTGCCGCCATTCCTCCCAGCAGAGTTGGACCTCAGAGGTAAAGCACGCTCTAGGGTGCCACATGTCACCTGTCGGCGGGCTGGTGCTTTATGCTCCACGACGTTCACCAGTATCTCTGCTTGTGCACCTGTGGTTGCTGCTGTTTGGGGGGGGGGGCTGTCACAGAGGATGCAAGGTAAATGGCACCCTCTGGAGTTGTGACTCGAACGTGGCGCTCAAACGCCTTCTCAGCAACACACCTCTCAGGGGAAAGCGCTGCCTGGTGGGGCGTTGCCTGGTGGGGACATGCACGCCTGCCGGGGTGCTCTGCACATGGGTGTCTCCCGTCACTGTGATCTGAGGCTCAGAACGTGCTGGCGGAGAGGTGGCAAGTCTCCCCAACCATGCCTCTCCGAGCTCACCTGCCGCTGCTCCCCCACACACTCACACCCTGGTCAGACCCCCCAGAACCACCTGTCACGTGCTGTGCTAGCGCCACTCCTTGCTCCTGAAGCTCCTCCTAACAGCCCTCTTTTTTCGAGCAGACCTGTGCTTGACCATCGGCACCTTCTGCTTCTGCTGGGAAGCCTCCCTGTGCGTCCCAGCTCAGAGACACCTCTGGTCCACACGACCCCAGATGCCTTCCGGTGTCCGTGTGGCCCTCTGGCACTTGACATCAGACCGCGTCAACCCACTGCTGAAACGCAAGGGTTCCCGTTACGTTTAGACAGAGACCCTCATGCTCCTGGTCCTCAGCAGGCAGGCGCAGCTCGACCCCGGCCTAGATCTGACCCCCTTTCCTCCTGCTCTTGGCTCATCCAGTCACCTCACCAAGTGTACGTCCGTCTTGAAGCTCTGCTCTTTGACAGTCTTCCCTCAGGTGGAAGTGTCCTCCTGCAGCAGTCCCGGGACCGCCAGCAGGTACAGCCTACAGAAGCCGAAGCTGTTGGTGGGTGCACCCTGTATTCTAAGTGGCTCGAACAGTGCCTGGCCCACGGTGGGTGACAGGTAGCTACATGCTGGGTGGGAAGTGTAAATAATCGTACGCTGCCTAGCGTTGTCTGTCTCTTTCTCCCCTTTGCTCTCTCATTCCCGTCATGCCCACCCCCTCCCCTAATCCGAAGCGTCCTGAGGACAGAGCTCAGGTCTTAGGATCTGTATCCCCCTCAGCACCCCAGGCGGTGACCAAGCCCAGACACTTTAATACAGGTTTGTTGACAGAATGAAGACAGAACAGGTTCCCACTGCCTTCCCAACGGGCAGGCTCAGCCGCCTCCAGGACAGACGACCAGCAGCGCTGGTCCCACTGCAGCGGCTCACCCTGTCCTCAGGGAGCCCCCTGGGGTGTCCGCTCCTGGAGCGGCAGGGCTGTTCTTCCCCCACCTCCTTCCGCTGCACCCCGCAAGACGGAGGCAGCCTTGGGCGGCACACACCTAACCAGCTCAGGACGAAACAGGGTTCTGCCGAACTCACGGCTGATCCACAGAGCGAGGCCCTTGGGAAAGGGTTATGAGCAGATCGTGACTTGGGCAGGCGTTGAGCTGACAGAGTTAAATATTTCAAACTTACCTCACCCTCCCTCCCTCTCCCTCTCCCTCTCCAGGGTGAGCACGCCGTTCCTCTTCCAAAGCTCAGTCCTTCTCCATATTTGGGAATCTGGAGTGGGCTCCCACTGTCTGCCGGGAGCTGTAGTCCCGGGAAGGTGGCTGCTTCTCTCCCGTGGCAAGCAGGCTGTGCTTTCCCCGGAGGACGTCTGGGGACGGGAGCCCCATGCTGGTGGGACGGGCTGCTGGACTGCTACCTCCAGCTCTCCACAAGCTGGTTCTGAGCGAGGCACCGCCCTTCTGCGACTCGGTCTCCCCCTCTGTAAAATGGGGGCAACTCCGTCTTTCTAACTGCCAGGTTGTTGGGTGGAGTATTAGCCAGCGCATATTAAGTGCTCTGAGCTCATTCCAGTGGGGATTGCTTTCTAAATAAAGATTGTTATATTTAAAAGGGAAAATGATCATTGCAATTGCCTCCACAAACCAACGCTTTGCCTGTAGATCAGTAAGATTCCCATTAATACCTGACGCGCCTCCCACCGGCCCTGCGTTTAAATCGTTCCCTGCACCTCGCGGCATCGTTTCCATCCCCTCTGGTTTCACACCCTCAGGAATACACGTCCTCTCTCCCTCCTCTCCGGAAGGAAAGGGTGAGGCCGATCGACTCTGCCCCACGTGAAAAGCACAGGAAAGTCGTACGCGGGGAGGATCTGCACCTGATTCAAGCTGCACAGACTCGCCTCCTCCTAGCTCATGCCCAAACATGACCAAGGGCTTGGCCTCTGTGGATGAGGCCAATCTCGTTCCTTCAGGAGAAGAAACAGAGTTCGCTGCGTGATTGTTGAAAGACCTTAATGAGAACTCCCTTCTCTGGAGATTTGGTAGAAGACGTCTGAGATCGGCGCCTTCACCCCGAGGAGATGGGCAGGTGCAGCCTGTCCACACAGCAGCGGGCCCAGGATCCAGACAGTGGGAAGGACCTGGGACCCAAGCCTCCAGGCAAGTCCTCTCCCCCGGCCGCGGCCACTGCCTGCATCCGTGAGGTGGAGCCCGCCGCGTCCCTTGGGGGTTTTGCAAAGTTCCCTGCGAAGTTAGCTGTGATCAGAGGCAGCCTGACCAACCATAGGGGACTTCAAAGTCAGACCCGTTGAGACCAGAATTCCATCCAGATCTGCTGTGGAGATTTGACCAAGTTGCGTGACCTCTCAAGCCTTGGCTACGTGACCTCTCTGACAGGGATGGTGAGGGTCCAGGAGACGCGCGTGTAAATGGATGCAGTCGTGAGCAGAGTGCACTGTCGTTGCAGGAGCATCACTCAGCTCCCATGTCACCACCTCCCTTGGTGGTGATCACATAGAATAATGTAAAGGTGCTTTTTAAAAAATGGTTTTGTTTATTTTTAGAGACGGGGGAAGGGAAGGAGAATGAGAGGGAGAGAAACATCCATGTATGGTTGCCTCTTGAGCCACCCCCACTGGGGACCTGGCCCACAACCCAGGCACGTGCCCTGACTGGGAATTGAACCAGCAACCCACTGGTTCTCAGGCCGGCACTCAGTCCACCGAGCCACACCAGCCAGGGCTGAAGGTGCTTTTTAAGTTGTAAGGTCCTGCACCAATGTGAGAAAGGTTAGGATTAAACACGAAGACAGGGGACGGGCCCCACTGCACCCTCCTTCCAGCATCTGGGCTGTGCAGTGGCTTTCCTGCAACAGAGGTCGCTCAACGTGTACACTGTCACCAGCGGCAGCAGGAGTATATATTTAGGCAGCGGTAACACCAAATCCACAGAAGGATCAAAAGGGCTTGCGTGACAGACTGTGAGTAAATAAGCCAGGATCCAGGGCAACGTAATTATGCATAATTACACACATGTACTTCGCGTGTTTATGGAGGGATGTTCGTCACCAAGTCACAACTGGTCATTCTTGGATGGTGGGATTTCAGATCCTTTTTATTCTCGTGTACTCTTCTGTCTTGTTGGGAATATTTTTACTTGGCATGTTCATGTTAATAAAAAGTTAAGAGATGAACAAAGAGCAGACACTGAGCCATCCAGTCTCAGGCTGCAATGCGCCGTCTAGGAGGATGCCTTCCTACATGAAGTGTGTTTTCTTAGGTGTGGAAACGGGACTTCTGGCAGCAAGCAGTGGTGTGTGCGAGGACAGTGGCAGGTGCTGGTGAAGAGGAATCGGGGGGTGACCCAGCCAGAGAGTCAGAGACAAACTTTCATCTCTGTTTATGCCGCAGGCTGTAATAACAGCGTGGTTTCGGTCGCAGCCTGTGTCCACACGAACTGCCTTGTTTCCTATGGTAACAGGATTCCTGTTTTTCCACCTCCATTCTTCCTGATCCCGTGGACTCTGGCTGTCAGAGAGGGGAATGCACCCACTCATTCGCCCGTCCAGGTAGTCGCCTGTGTTGTGAGGGATTAGGGCAAGGGAGTGGCGAGCTACCTGGAGTCTGCTTGCACCATCTCACCCCAGTTTAGAGCCAGACACACAGAGGACAAGCTTGCTTCCCAGAAAGACACGATGCAGAAGGGATGGTGACGGTGTGCCTCACTGTTCACAACAATCTCCCCCCAGAGAACTTCCCACAGGCAAGTCCCCACAAGCTGGAAGGCAGCTTGCTGGCTGGGGGCCCATCCCCAAGGAGGACCAGAGCCTGGGGCCAGAGGGCTGGCTCCTTCCGGCTGCCACAAACCACTGAGACTGTCCCCAGAAAAAACTGAGCTGCTGCGTGTGTGCCACTTGCAAAGATTCTGTGTGAAGGGCGCCCCCTAGGGCTGTGCTGTGGGAACCCCAGGAAGGGTCCTCCCCGCCATCCCTGCCCCAAGCACACCAATCTGATGAGGAAAAGCCAACAGACTGGAGCTTGGCTGAGTAGTCCTTGACGATTCTTGAAATGAATTCAACTGTCATGGGTTAAAATACACGCTCAGGTGCCTGTTTGCCCCACTTTGCTCACGTGACTCTTCCGTCTGACGCCGTTCTCCTTTTGCTCCAGGAGAGACACTGAGTGGGGTTGGGGTTCTGTTGGCAGTGGGCGCTGGGCTGGGGTGGGAGCGCCACAGTGCCCTTGACCTCCCGGCCTGAGAACAGGAGCCAGAGCCAATGCAAAGGCAAACCGAAGCTCCTCTGATTTATTTTAGACTTGTTACTTTGTTTCTTGTAGGCTCTGGCCACATGGGACAGTGCTGGGCAGATTTGTTTACTTGCTGTACTTGCTGAAATTGACTGAGTAAAATATCCCATTTTAGGGCCGGCTGCGCTGCCAGGGCAGACCGCAGGCCTGCCCCTTCGCTTCTCTGAGTTCTCGCGTAACTTTCCTTTTTGACTTTCATCACCTGGGTAAGGTAGAAAATTAAGACTTCTGGGAATTCCAACATTTCTCTCCCCGACCCCCGCACCCACCACCATCTGTGTTACCTTGCTCGCCGTTTTGCTGTCAAGCTCAGACCGAGCAAGTGAAAGCATGCCGTAGAGCTGGTATTCGGTGCTAGTTAAGGAGAACGACGCTGGGCTCACCTCTCCTGGGTTTAGGTCCCAGTCATGTGCCTCTGGTGGGAAAGTCACGAAGCCTCTCTGAGCCATGGTTTCTTCTCTGACAAAATAAGAATGACCGTCAGACTCTTATCCCCAGGTTGTTGATGGTAGATGAGTTAAATGTCAAGCACTCAGAATAGCACCAAGTTAATACAGTACTGTATAAATCAAGCCGTCATTATTACTGCTGTAAAGTGTTACGTGGAATAAGTAAGATTATGAAGATTTCTTCTTAGACACAAGACAGGTGAGAATTCTGCTGTGTCTACATGCAGAGGAGCAAGCAGGGACAATTGAGCTCTGCTCTGGACAAGCTCAGGCTTTTAAAGAGAACCATAAAAGTGCCATCTAACCGATGAAGGTCTGGTGTGGGAGAGGCACACCCCGTGGCCATCTGGGAAACACGCTGTCTCCACCCTGCCAGTGTTTATCTCTCTGGCTTGCTTCTGGCCAAAGGTCCGCTCTGATCCTGCTGCACTCAGACCTTTACCACCAACGTCCCTGTACTAAGGGGCTCTGATTGGCTGAGATGTGTTGACAGGGGCAGGTAGGGATCCTGTCTGTTGTCAAGAAATATAGCACCAGGTTGGGGGCGTCAGGAGAGGCTGGGCTGGCCACAGATGGGGGCGCATCTGACCTCTGTAAGGAAGAGTCAAGAGTCAGATTCCAGGTCAGAATGTAAAATTACAGAACTTTTAGGTGGAATGAGATTCTTTCTTCTCCTTACTCTCTTCCCCATATATTATACCACCTCACCGTAGACTGGCCTGAAGTACTCCAGTGACTTAGAGTTCACTGGGTTGTTAGACAGTCTCTTCTGATCCTCACAGTCACCCTGTGTCTTCGGGTGAGAAAACTGAGGCTCGGAGGAGTTTGGTGACCTTCCAGGAGTCACCTGGCTTAATCACCAAGGGAAACAGAATTCTAACTGGTGTAGTTCAACCTCCTGTCTGGCACTCTTTCTGCTACAAAAACACCAATATGTCATGTGTTCCAAGTAGGCCGAGCAAATCCACGTCCACAGGTGAAGGTGACAGACAGATGCACCGGGCACCCTGCCTGATGCAAGGACAAATACCACACTGCATGTGACTCATGGCTCAGTCTGGGGGCATCACAGTGCTAAAGGTTAAGTGGCAACACACAGACTAGGACGAAGCCCTGAATTGTCAAAAATTGGTTGAAACACAGAAATAGAACACAATCATATTTTGAGCACCCCACCCACCCCTTAAATATCTTGACCTCATTTTAGCTGCTATGGCGCCACTAAATGGCAAATTCACTTCTGGCAGATTTACTTCTCCTAAGGTTGTGCTGCCCCCTCCTGGGAAAAACAGGGATAGCAAGACATTTCTTGTGAGGAATGAAGGAAGAGGGGGTCTTCTAGGCGCAGCCTTTCGAAGGGCCCCTGGAGGTGGAGACCCCTCAACCTGCCGAGGTCTGGCTTCTGGTGCTCCTGCTACTTTCCAGACTTTTCAGGAAAGACCTGGAAACCCAGTCTTCAGAAGCAGATTTTTTTCCAGTCCAATAAGTATATTATTACTGATAGTCTTCATCATCTGTGGTTGGTCAGCAGGACAGGTGTCCAAACCTGTAAGAATTTTTGTAAGTTTATTTGAGCCAAACTGACCACAATCGCTAGGAAGTAAAATCTCAACATAATGAGAAAATGATCTGGAAAAAGTAAGTTTTGTGCCGTATTTTATACTGTACAATCAAAAGAAGAGGTGTAGGGGAGTCGCATGAAGTCCTTTGGTGATAGATTAGGGAGGGGGAAGAAAGCAAAGTGGGAAACGACTTGGATTGTATGAAAAGGTAAAATGATAGACACAAGCTTCTTTCACACGGGTGGGCACAGGAGAGTTACTAGTCGACTATTAACACAGTGACAGTAACAGTGAGATTTGTGGTCTCCCCCTGGAGCGGTGCCTGTGTCCTGAGGGATCCGGAAAAGGAAACCATCCTGACATTCCAAAGCTGTGTT